TCTTCAGGAGATCAAGGGGCCGTGAGCGCTCCTCTCTCAACCATTCCCGTTCTCCATCACTTTCCTATGTGCCCCCTCCCAGATTCCCCCAGTCATCTTTCCCCCTTCTTCACCATGGGTATTAGGTGGTCCTTATCTTTTCCGCCACCCCTTCCCCCTCCCCCCCCCACCTGCCTCCCTTCCTTCTGTCCATCTCCCTCCTTCCTTATCTCATCTCCCCTCCCCTCCCCCTCCCCTCTCCCTCCCTCCCTCCCTCCCTCCCTCCCTCCCTCCCTCCCTCCCTCCTCACTTCAGCAACAGGTGATCGCATGTTCCTCGTGTCGTAGATCTTGACCGTCTCGTCGTAACTTCCCACCGCCAGGCAGTGCTGCAGGGCCGCGTGGCTCTGAATGCAAGTCACCTGCCACTGTTCAGCTCCTTCTCCTCCCGCACAGCTTGCGGTACCCCTGCTTGAAAGCTCCTCCTGTCCGCATGCAACAGGGTACTTCCTCCTCCTCTCAGGTCCCAACACTTCAGCAACCCGTCGTCTGCCCCACTGTACATGACATCCTCAGCATGGCAGTCCCACGACGCTATCCAGCACTCCAGCTCGTGCCCCTCCACCTCCCCCGCAGAGCAGAGGGTCCCATCGCTCCTCATCTGCACCAGACAGACCTTTCCCTCCGACATGCTCACAGCCGCACACCTCCTCCTCCTCTCCGCACTGCAGCGATCGTTCCAGTCCAGAGACAGTGCGAGGGACCCTGGGGTGTTGCTGCAGCGAAAGGACGACTCCAGCCGCAAGCCTCTCCCTCCTCCCTCCTCCTCTCCTAGAGCATACACATGGAGACACCCATCCGCCCCTGCCTGCCCCAGCACGCTCCGCATGCTTGCAGAGTATCCACTCCACTTGATGTCGAACACACCAGGGGCATCCAGCGCGTGGAGGGAGCGGACGGAGGGGGTCTGACCTTCTGCTCCGCCTGCATCCTCGTCCTGCTCATCGACTGTGAGCGTGTAGAGGCGGCCATGACGCGTCTGTGACGCTGCCTGCCAGACAACAAGTAAGGGACGAGCAACAGCAGGAAGTGGCAAGTCAGGACACGGCAGGTCGTCGGCAAGATCTCATGGTCACATGTCACGTGCTTCCATCACACGCAGCGCTCACATCTCTCCCTTCATGCCCTTCTGCCAGCTGATACGTCCCTGCTATCAGAGTGTTCTCTTCCCCGGGCGCCGTGCAGAACTCCACGGCATCTGCCAGCTTGTTAGACTCGCAAAGCACTGCTGTGTCGTGCCTGCGTTCAAGATGGTGTCGAACTGATGTTGACACAGAGCACTGCTGCTCATCCTATGCTGGGATGCTGAAGACACAACAAGGTGCAGGAGGACGAAGGGGAGCCAGCGGCGAGAAATGTTTATCGAAGATCGGAGGCCTGTATACGTAACAGTGAACAAATCTAACAAGCATCTCACTGCCAACCTCTCAACATATCATCAACACTCCTCCTGCTCATCCTCTCTTGTTCCTCTCATAATCTCCACTCCTCCTCCACCACCACCACCTTCTCCTCCTCCTCCTCCTCCTCCTCCTCCCTCCCTCCCTCCCTCCCTCTTCTTCGAGTCGCCCAACCCCCCCACCACCATGCGCCTAATCCGGCCCACCCCTTTGCCAATACTACCCCCCACAGCTCCTAGCAAAGGACCCATACAAATTCATCACCCACACTGCTAGCAGAACTACCCTCCGTAAGTACCTCCGATGAAGGGGTCCTTGGGGTACCCTACCCCGTAAATTGGGGAAACTTACCCCACTGGAGCCTACTACCGTCCTCTTCGACAACCCCTCCCAGTGATCTACTACCCCCAAATACCAATGAAATAAGTGTCGAAAGTACCGGTGTCATCAACGCCTCACCCCTTGGAGTAAAGTACCCTACCCACCCGGAATAACTTGGCCGCCCATGACACCAATGCTGGAGCTGGCGGAGGGAGAGAGGAGGAGCGGGAGGAAGGAGGAGGACGAGGGGCGAAGGATGAGAACGCGGAAGAGTTTGAACTCTAGCTGGAGTAGCTTGAACTTAGGGAGCAAGAGCGGAAGGGGCACGAACATGGACGGTTGCCTTGTGAAAATTCACCAAGAAGTTGTGCAGGAGCAGGAATAGAAGCAGGGGGGCTAGGGAGCGTAAAGGCCTGCAAAAGGAGGAAGATTAATGCAGATAATGTAAAGGATGCATGAAGGATGAGTAGAATCATATTTGATGATCAGAAAAGTATGCATCAAAGTGATAGTACTTTTGGTGGGGAAAGCCTGGTGGGCGAGGGAGGGAGCGAGCGAGCGAGAGGAATGCGTTGAAAATCGATTGCGCATTTGTTTATTAACCATCTTCTGTGAGTGCAATCAGTGTGAACGAGAGCAAAGGAGCTGTAGGGATTTCAAGTTTAAAAATGCAACTGTCGAACTAGGGCATATCTCATTAGTTTAAGAATCGAAAGACAACAACCTATGGTTGTTGGCAGACATCTGATTTGAAAATTCGATTGACGCCATGCTGAGTTTGACTTGCGAGAGAAACAAGAATTGTTTCTTCTCCTGCTCTGTCTCCACCTTCACCGTTGGTATGGCCTGACTTCGGCTCTTCTAGACTTTTTCCGCATGGGCGAGCGAACGCGGCGGCCGCTGCAGCTGCAGGTACCAGCGATGGCACGAGAGTCATCCTTCAACATTGGCGAGAGCGAGGGAGGTAGGAAGGACCATGGGAGATGCAGAGAGCTGACGTTGCTTCCCCTGCCTCAGGTCAAACCTACTCGTTCCAAGACACGGACCCCAACAGCGGGACTTCGAAGATCGTCACGATCCCGCAGCAAGGAGACCAGGGGTTCAGGCTGTCGCAGTTCGTGCTAGGGCCGGAGTTAGGAAGAGGGGAGGGTGGAGGGGTGAGGATCGCAACGCACATACCAACGGAGAAGCAGTTTGCGCTGAAAGAGATCAGCATCGGGTCCAAAGGGCATCGGGAGCAGCTAATGAAGGAGCTGCAGACTCATCGGGGGTGCGGGAGGATGCAAGACATCGTGGAGCTGTACGATGTGTTCTACGAGGAGGGGAGGGTGTACCTGGTGCTAGAGCTCATGGACTGGGGATCGCTGCAGGTGCTGCTGCAGCAGCAGGCGGAGCGGAGGGCGAGGATGGACGAGCGGGTGCTGTCGGTGATCCTGAACAAGATCACCCGGGCCCTTCACTTCCTCCACGACCAGCACCGGCTGATCCACCGCGACCTGAAGCCTGCCAACGTGGTGATGGGGACGGAGGGAGTGGTGAAGCTGAGCGACTTCGGCGTCAGTCGCGTGCTGGACCAGGATGCCAAGGGGGTTACTTGGGTGGGAACGGTGGGGTACATGAGCCCGGAGAGGCTGCAGGGGAACCAGTACTCGATGAAGGCAGACATCTGGTCGGTCGGCATCATCGCCATCGAGTGCGCGCTGGGTCACCATCCCTACATGCGCAGCGACGGTCAGGAGTCGCCGCTGTTCGAGATCATGCAGAGGGTGGTCAACGAGGACGTGCCGATCCCGCAGGGGAGCGGGCTCTCCCCGCAGCTAGAAGACTTCATCAAGTGCTGCCTGCAGAAGGACGAGGACATGCGGTGGTCGGCGGAGCAGCTGCTGCAGCATCCCTTTCTCAAGGAGCCCAACCTCGCCCCTGCTGACCAGGATGCGATCATGCGCTGGTGGCTGGGTCAGTACAGCAGGCCCAAGTTCTATGATGACTACGGGAATGAGTTCATCATAGGGAGTGGGGCGCAGCACCTCAAGGTCCTCCCCTCCCTCCCTCCCTCCCTCCCTCCCTCCCTACTCTTCCCTTCTATGTCCTCAATCTTCCTCGTCCACTCTTCCCTTGTCTACACCTTTCCCCCCTCCCTCTTCCCCTCCTCTCCCTCATTTGAACCCTCCCCACTCATCATCATCATCATCATCATCATCTGACTCTGCGCCAGGGGGCGGGCGACATGATGATGGAGTAGTGGTAGACGACGCTAAGGAAGGAGCGGCAAAAGGCGACTTGGATGCGACGATGGAGAAGCAGTGCTAGGTAAGGATGGATGGGAGACTAGAAGAAGAGGAGGAGGCGAGTGAGAGGAGGAGGAGGAGGAGGAGGAGGAGAAAGGGGAGCGAGTCAGGGTCTTGATTCTTTTGATTTCTGTGTGTGGAACTGAAAGTGTCTTCACACGTTTGTCTCCTTTTATAAACAGTATTGATACACCGCCTCCTCCATATCCTCCCTCCTCCCTCTTCGTCAATCAGGCTCCACGAGTGAGCACAAGCTGAAGCGGCTTGCCGTCGCTGCGACCCTGCCGCCTGTAGGGAGTGAGACCGAAGGAGAAGAAGGAGAAGAAGAGGACTGGCGGGACCAGAGGAAGGGGAGGGAGGAGAGAGAGAG